GTCTGCAAACGGCATGCTGGGAAGAGATCAGATTAGGGCTGCGGCACTCGTTTTCCTGGTTGAAGTGACTCAGTGTAGAGCAGAAGCAAGAAGTTAATTACTCAATCAACCGGTCAACCAACAGAAAATATACTGACAACTGTTTGACTGTCATTAATCTGTTAGTCTTTTAATAAAAGCAAATATGATTTCAGAATGGTGAAACAAGACTGTAAGTAATGTCTCCTTGGTCTCTGAAAAACACTGGCGGGGAATATTTTCTGACTTTTTTGACATTAATCAAGAACATAATTAGCAGACAAACTGAAAATATAAATTAAAATGTAAATGGAAGTTTTGCTGATGTAAAGACGGAACGTGAGAGAGCGACTGCATTTTCAAAATGTTAAAATTTTCTGTCGATCAAACAATCAAATATGCAGCTAATGCTCGAGCGCCTTATCATGTTCACGAGGGCTTTCATGACGGTTTTCTTAATGCGCTCTATTTCGGGAAAAGGTGAAACGTTCAAAGCTGAATCCCTGTTTTTGACTCCTCCATCTCAGCCATTATCGTGACAGTTTGCATCAGTAAGCCGAGAGCTGAGAGGAGTCAGTGAAGCACTGCGACGTGAGTGACGCACTTGTGGCACTAAATCCGTGTCGCTCTGCAGGCGGTGAACCCGGATTGGCGTGAATCGCAGATGTTTGGGGTTGCGACCTCTGGCTGGGGCAAAGCAAAATGTCTGCAGCAGCGAGGCGAGCGGCTCGCTTCCTGAAAGACTGTTTGTTTGAGACTGCAAGTGCATGCACGCGTGTCTGAGATGGAGAAGACAGCGACTCATTCTCTGTGTGTGTGCGTGCTCGTCCGTCAATATGTATGCTTTCTTCATCACAAAGCTCACGTGCTTTAATCATTCATATTGAGTTACTAAAGACGTGCCATGTTCTTATAATCAAACACATTTCCTCAACAAAGTGCTCTTTTGAGGAACATCCAAATTCCAGCAGAAAAGAGGACCATGAGATGCGCGGATCTCTTTTAGGAAATAAACGTGATTAAAGGGCGACGTGAAGAGGAAGGACAGAAACACAATTCCGACAATTAAGACGACAAGAGCGAACACTCAAATTACTTTACAGAGGTACAAGACTTCAGGCTGTTCCAGCTCTTTATGATACGGCATCATCTCGCTTACTTTGAGTGCGTGTATTCATTTGCATGAGAGCGTGTGGGAGTGGGATATGCACACAAGCGCTGCTGCAAGTGGGAGTGTTTACGTGAGAGTGTCTACGATAGCAGATTCGCCATTCAAGGGTGAAAGCAACCAGCTACCCTTCTAGTCAGAGGCCTCCATTTCTGGGAGGGAGGCCAGGGCTCCAATCCCACCACATTCCCCTGGATTAGCTGTCAACCAGTCCCCAGATCTGGGGATTAGCACATTATATTCCATTATCTTTCCCAAACTGGAGAGTCCACAAAGTCTACATCATTGCTCTCAGAGGGGGCCAGCAGGACAGGGCTGAGTAAGAGGTGCCTTCAAATCGGGCCAAATTGAGCCAAACTGAGCTGAGCCAAACCAAATCTGTAACTAAGACTGTACTCCGGCTCAGCGTTGCCTGGCAACCAAATCAAGTTTGAGGAAACAAATAATCAAACTGTGTTTCTAGATATCAATTTTATGGCACTTTGCTGATATTTTCTCATTGTTATCCGCAGCAAAGTGACAGCGTACACCTCTATAGAGGCCAGGCAGACCATAAATTACATGTAAGAAGAAGCATTAATAAAAACAAAAGCAATCCTGGTTTATCTCACACACGTTCCCCTTCCACCGCTCCTGCTGAGCTTGCACACAGAGTGGAGTGCGCGGCTCCCGGGAGCCGTGTTGTTTTTCACTCCGTGATCCGGGCGGACTCGGGGGAGCGAGGGAGCCGTTATCAGCAAGGGGCCTTGATAGAGACTCGATCGGGCCGTCAGTCTGCGGGGACCGAAGAGCCAGAGTTAATCAGAGGCAGACAGACCCCTCGTCACCCTGGGGATTCACGCGCTTCGACCCCGATGCTCTGGCTCTCGCCGTCACGCAGACACACAAAGACACGTGCGGGAATGGTCACAATAGCACATGTGCTTACTCGCACCTTCTCATGCACTGTCAGAGCCTCTGCCACACCCTCTATGCTTTATTAGGACTCCTAAGCCAAAACAACTGTGCAACTTTATTTAGCAAAGCATGAATTCAAAGCAGTATAATTTATACTTTTCTTTTATAATAAGGTAGCACGAGCTCCACGATTATCGACTCAAACTTTCTTTCTTTCTTTCTTTTTTTCAATTACCGATTCAAACTGACGGCACACGTTTTTCTTTCCTTTTGACCTTTGGCCTGGATTTTCAAGCACATTCTATCGTCGGCGTCGACGTAAAACACTAAAAAGGAAAGTTAATGCTGTAAAGACGATATTTTAACCCAGGTGCAGTCTTTTTGTCCTAAACATCACTAACTAGTTTTGTGGCTATACCAAACCAGTGAGTGAAAGCAAAGGTGAAAAGTGAAAGTATGTAAACATAAGATAAAACGGACAGCTGCTTCTCATAAATATAGTTGTTTCTGCCTCTCAAACACGCCTACCTATGTTGATATAGAGAATTTTCTCTTCATAGCAAACACTAAATTAATTGCGGGAGCTATAAATAGCCGCCTGCTTTCCTTGTGTGAACTGATGCCTTTTTGTCTCTTATTTGTATTACAGCCTTTCCTTTTCCTCTCTGCTGTGGTCCTCGCCAAGGCGATAACCTGCGTGACATTTTTGCACTTTTTGCCGTTCACAATTACAGATTTGAGACCGTTTCTTTTCCCCACTTCTCAGGTGAGCTTCTGAGTTTTAAATTCTGTGAAATTTGTGCTTCTTTCTTGTGTTTCTTTTAATTGCCGTGTCCAATAACTTGAGGTGCAAACACTGATTTTATATGCCATTGATTAAATAAGGAAGTACGTGGGTACAATGATTTATAAAAGAGGACCCTGCGTAAAATGCAGTTTTTCTACACTTTCTTTTTCGTTGGATTTGTATTCAGATTTCTGCATTTGTGTTCAAACAGTTTCCTGCACCCTGTGTCTATCTCAAATCGGAAGGCTGCACTAGCTTTTTTTGAAAGTTTGTGAAAAACACCTGCACATCGCATGCATCATTAAGCGAAACCATAAAATGACAAATATTTCTATCTTTAAACTCCTAATCGCAGCAAATCAGCAGTCGCGAGCTGAGAGTTCGCACAGGCTGACCTTGTGACCTTGAGTGAGGTCGAAGATCAAAAACAGAGCGTCTCAGCAGTTCTAAATGCTCATCAAGTTCCTCTTTAGGATGCGTTTATCACTTTACCACAACACCAACAGAGCACCTGCCTCCTCTTTCTACCTATCTTTACTATATTTTAGTAAAAACAAGCTCAATATACTTCTGAACCTCTGATTCACATCAGCACTTTAACCCCTAAACTACAGCTTGACTCTATGTTTTGTCTATGCAGTCCAATGCCGAGGAGCAGCAGCAGCGATTCGGATTCTCAGCTAACCAGTTTACGCAAACAAAGACTGAAACACGTTTAAAATATGTCGGCAGGTTGGCAGAATTTCCAGCCAGAGGTTCAGACATATATTGACCAGGGCTGTCAAACCAGAGCCGTTAAATAGCTGACATGCAGGTATCCAGCTGGCCTACCTCTGGAGAAAGGTGTAAGAAATTATATGGCATTTAGATTAATTAGACACAGTTGTCAGATTTAATTAACTACTAGGTTTAATTAACCATGTAATTAATCTTATGGTGGTCCAACACATGCACACACACAGAGACGAGGCGAGGAGACGCACACATCAACTAGTGCCCGCGCAGACATGCATGGTACATGCGCGACAGATGTAATCTGTTCAGCTGACAAGCGCTCGCACTTTTGCCGTCAAACCTCATAAGAGAGTTCAACTGGACGGGTGACAGGCTACGAGTTAAAACGGCCTGAATGAAACACGGATGGCGAGAAACGCGCCTCTAATCCATTTCAGGTTTAACTTCTGCCCGGGTGGAACGATAATCTCGCAGCTGAAGCAGTCTGTCCAGTCAACATCCGCACACCGTGTAATCCTTACTCAAATATACACCACGCGGCATGATGCAAATATTTATCATAGTGTGGACAAGCCAAAAGAGAAAACCCTTGCAGCTAAAGAACAAAAAAACAATTTGAAAAAAGATGACAAAGTGAGGAGGTTAAGCCTGCGTGGCCCGCAGTCACGAGAAAACAGACGCTCGCTTTGTGCTGGCCTGCAGAAAATGTGCATGTTTGATCTACTGGTCTGATTGTGCAGAAGACAGGGGTCACGGGGGCTCAGGCCCTGACCTTGCAGCACCCGGGCCATCCTCTGCCACAACTATCATAAGCAGCTATTGTGTGCAAATGTGTGTGTAGATGTAATGGTGCGATCAACCAGCTGCTTCATGTGATTTGACCTTTACTGAAGCCACGAGTGGAACGATAAATAGTCAGGCAGAACAGTGACCTTTAACCTCGGCGACAGATTCACTAGAACAGGAAGTGTGGCCACCAGCTGAGCTGCACCGCTGAAGCAGCTGATAGGAAAAATATATGTAATCAGTCAGATTGAGTTAAATATTGAACGTTGCCACAAACACCCTATTGTATTTTAAAAATTTAAAGATGGAAGTCTAAGGGCTTTTCCATAAAATATACAAGTGGTGTTCACGGGTGTTGCATTTTTTAAAAGCACGCCATTTCAGACGTCTGGCTCGCAGCGAGCCCCGTCCACAAACGGAGGCTGCAACCAGGAAGAGCAGACACGCAGACGGTAAGAAACAAACGTGTCAAAACAAGAACCAGCAGCATTATCTCAAACAAGATAGTCCCTTCTTTCTGATGCACGGTCTGTGTGATCGTGGGTGTTCACGAGCATGTGGATGTGTGTGTACTTGTACACCGCGGGAGGGTTGGTTAAGTTCACTCACATAGTCATGGAAAGCCTTGGCCTCGCTGGAATGTTCGCACGTCTCCCTCCGGTCCGGGGCAGCGCAGTACAGATCCCAGAATACACTGTGCACACAGGACAGTAACAGCAGTTAGACACTTTCATCTGTAGGCCACAGACACACCAGGTTCATGGCAAAAGGTGGTTAAAACAGAAGAAGAAGAATATCATGTAGATAAAAAAAAAAGCAAAGCAGGTATAAAATGATTTCTTGATAGCTCAGTTTGAGACAAACTTTTCAAAAATAGACCAAGAAGCCGTCAACGTCAGTATGAGTCACGAGCTCCGGTGACAGCACTTTTCAATGTTGTCTCATCAAAACCATCCAAAGAACATAAAACGGCACCGATGATCCGAAACATCAGTGTGATTGGCTGATTCTTGGCCCTGATTGCAAAAGTTCCTAAGAACATGTGTTTTAAAATTAACAACATTATGATATGAACGAGATATTATGTGATCAAAACGCGTCCAACAGAAACGGCAGAGCTGACCTGACAATGTGGTTGACGATGACAACTGTTAGCTGTGACTAACAATTATTTTCAGTATTGATAAATCTGCTGATCAATGTCTCTACTGTCATCAGAATTTTAAAGGCTGACACCTTTAATTTGCTTGTTTTGTTTTGTCTGACTAGCCGCAGAAAAATAATATTTTGTAGTGAGCGCATCAGATTTAATCATTTTTGCTTTAAAAACCATTTAAAATCTCAGCACTTTTCCAGCCATCCACACACACAAACACAAACACACACATACACCACGGCAGGCTTCTCTTTAGCCTCCACACTATCACGCAGTCCAGCCAGCAGCTCGGGTCCAAATTACCAGGAAGGACCTCCAAATGTTCCCCTCGGCCTGTCCCGGTGACCTGCAGGTTATTGACCAATCAGCTGTGATTATGTTACTTACTGCCCAATCAGCAGTGTTCATATTAGTTAATTAGACCAATCCAACTCCTTCAGGGCATCGGAGGCCACCAGGTCCCGCTCCAAATGGGCTCTTAATTACTGCACTGAAATAAAGGAGTGCTGCTTCTCCTTGGTGCTGACTTCACGGACAGAATATTAAAAACAAGAAATGCTGAAGTCACGGGAGGATTTTTTTTTTTTGCCACTTAAAGGTGCAAATAAACTCTAACATGCATTCTTTGTGCTGATGTTAGGAACAGCCGTGACACTTGATGTGACAGACTGCGAAATGGAGCAGAAAATATTAGCTGATCGCCCGTAACTGTCAGAGAGTGGCTCGGCAGCACCCTGTCACATACTGGTCATTTTTCATTGCGCAGGATGCGTGATTTTTATGCTTCTGTGTTATTATCTCTTGAATATAGTTATTACAGAACATTGTTGATCAGCAATCTACACATTCCTTCATTGTCCTTTGATTTTTTTTTTTTAATTTTCTTTGCTATTTGAGGGCGTCAAGGAAACCAGAGAGCAACAATGGGTGTCCTAAAAATAAAAACGAACAATAAACAATAACTTTGAACCCCGCAGCACGAGGTACCAACCTTTCAAAGCATCTGAACTAAAATAGAAATGTGTTATTAGAGTATTTAAAGATTAAAAGGCAGAGTCGGTGCCCTGAGGCGTTCAGTGCGCGCTGGGGTCCCTTCTAGACGAGGAGGGCACCGAGGAACAGGGCGGGACTGTGCAAAGCTGGTGGTGAACACATTGTGCGTGAGTGCGCGTGCCTGTGTGTTGTGCCGCCCTTCTGTCACTCGGCAATAAAGCCAGTGTACATTATCATATCTATCGGTTGGTGTTAAAGAGATTGCTGCTCTGTCAGAGACGAGGTGCGGCGTGAAGGCGCGACCATCGCAAATCCAATCAGCTCTCGGGGAAATGAAATGGGACGCGGGTTGCAGTTTGTTACAGAAAAGACACAACCAGGTGCAGTCGCAGGGGTAGGGGAAGGTGATCTAACATCTCCTGGCCTGTGAAGTCTGAAATATATTACGATTTGAACAGCTGACCTGCGTCTGTCTGAGCCGGCGCAGGCAAATCTCATTCCGTCTCTCTGCATAATCTGAAGGAGGATCACTGCCGGAGAGGACTAAACGCGGAAACAAATACTTTCATTTTTCTGATATTATTTCTGAGGTTTTACACTTTTTCTGCATAGAGAGAGGCAGAAAGTGTGAGGAAGTGTTAGTTTAACGAGCACAATCTTTCTAATATTCACCCAATTTAGACCCCATAGGGCAGCTTCAGTGCATCAGTAGGACCGAATCCAGGTATATGTAGGATGGGACCATTGCCAGCGCTTTTTTTTTTTTACCTTTTTAATATAGGGCCACCCACATTTAGAAGAATAACACACAGTTGTTGTCCCATCCTTTTCAGAAAAACTAATCTGTAGAAATGATCTAGGGAGTCAACATTTGCAGTTAATTAGCAACAGCAATCTGCGAGAAATCTTGCACACCCTTGTTATAGTAAAATTTCTATCCAATTATCTAATCATTTCAATCTAATCATCTCATCATGGGAAGCTCTTTATAGTATTATGGGATGTAACTAGTGGTTTAAGCCACACGACTCTGTACAAAGGATGCAAAGTTTAACAGCTCTTACTTTGAAGAGTCACAGGAGAGATTTAAATTACAGCTTGGGGGTCATATAAACTCTTTTATTTATTCAAATCAGAAACAAGACTAAAATATACGAGCCAGCGTGGCCGGCGCACACAAACACGCGCTCTTTGTATCCTGAACAGAGGAGGAAAGGATTAGCGTCCAGCCGTCCAGAAGATGACAATTACTAAAATTAAATGCCATCACGATAATTATTTGCAATTAACTGTGGCCTCACAGAGCCAGTGGTTACAATGTGCTTTTCCAGTACAATAAAGAGGGTAAACAAAGACACTGAAAGACAGCCACGCAGGCTGCTGGTAGCTGGTTTAATCCTGTGTGCGTCACTCAGTCCGTCGGTCAGTCAGCAGGGAGACGGAAATAAAAATTAAGACAGAGATGGAGATCAGGATGCGGCACGAGTATAAAAGAAAACAACTCAGCGCATTTATCTTTTATCATCATCGTGCCTTATAAACCAGAAATGCTCCATGTGCACATTCAACAGTCTGTTTCCTCAACCTTATTTAGCAGAGAGCGGCCGGAGTCTATCCCAGGGCACGAGGCGAGTTACACCCTGAACAGGTTCCCTGTCCGTCACAGGACCTGCCTTTGGAAATGGTGTAATAATACAGTAACTGTGACTGAAGAAAGTCCTGCAAAACAAACCTGACCCACGAGAAAAATTAAGCTGTCAAACTTGAGACCCAAAGACAAAGAGCCCGCTCACACAGAACAACAGTCACAGAGGCAGTGACTGAGGCTTAGTGATCAAGCTTAATGATGCCCAGAATAATTACGCAGTAACAGCAAAGACATTCGGGCCTCCTCTCCTTGCAGGGGGGATAACTGTGCATGACATGGCTAATAGGAAATATTTTGTCTGTCTAGGAATCCCAAAATAGTATTCTTTCAACTTTCGCTGATTTCACAAACATTTGCAGTTGGTCGACAGAGTAGTATCTGAAAGTCAGACCCCACCACACAGGCCTGGAAACCAGTTGGCAAGAAGGTATATTCACCTATCAGTTGGCGAAGTTGCTGGCAGCCACTGTGTCAAACCAACGCACTGAAATCAACCTCTTTGTGACTAATATCACCTGGTGAGTGCCAGCAACCACTCGCCAATCAATCGGGGAATACACACGGTTGGTTGCCAAGAAGTCTCTAGGCCTGTGTGACGGGAACTAATTCTTCTGGACTGAACCAATTTAAGTTCAGTAAGCGACCTTTTGATAACTTTAGTAAAGTAAGACACCAAATCACCAACTTTCTTTTATAGTGTATTTGCACCATGAAATAACTGACAGAATAAGGAAACCTTTGATTTCAGTTCATCCTACTCTCACACACTGTGAAAAGTTAAATTCAGCTCACTGCAGCAGTAAACTGTATGCTTTTCAGATTTTTCAGGTTTCCACTGATTTGACTGTATTAAGTGTGAGTTATAGTAAAGTGCTACCTCCTAGTGTTGCATATGCATTGGTTGGCCATCACCACTGAAACTAAGACAGTGTTATTAAACTTGGAGCTCATAACTTTTGACTAAAAAGTATGAAGGAGAGACTTCAAACTTTAAGTCTACACAGACTTCTTAAACTGAGAAAGGCTGCAGATGCCTGTGACACAAAGCTAGCTAGCATGTTAGCAAGCAAGCTAGGCGCATCTTGTTTAATAGTCCTTGTTCTGTGCTTACACTTCATGTTACCGCCAAACAACTATCACAGCTGTTGAGGTCTCTGTCACTGTAGAGGATTTCACTGCTGGTGACGCTAGCATTAATAATGGATTATGTTTACATGTATTTACCACCACTATTCAGCCAAGAATCAAAAAATCCCCTGTTTGTGTCGCTTCCTTGTTACTGGAAGGAGACACAGATCCCGTGGGGGTTGAAACAGGAAATTCTGACAAATCAAAATGTGCTGAGCAACCCGCTGTGGTGACCCCTTATGAGTAAGGGAGCAGTCTAAAAGTAGCTTATATTTACATGTAGTGTATCTCCCCCTTGGAATATAAACCAACAAAATTACAGTTTAATCACCATCACTTAAAAACAAAAGAAAAAAAAAGCAATCAAGAGTGAGAATAAATGATTATTTAGGCAAAAATAAAGGGGACTAAACAGAAGGAGATACAGAAGGATGTCAAAGAACAGTCCAGACATTTGGGAGCATCGGATGGCTACTCTCACTTTGTTTGCTCTGCCCCCACAAACAAGAATTTCAGCTAGAGGCTATCACAGAGAAGATCCCTCTACAGTTCATACTGTTGTTGTGGCTGTGTGTGTGTGTGCATTGGGATGAAGGAGAATTCAGTGGCCATCCAGTGAAAACTGGTTAAAGCAATCGATTTTGGGATAAGGAGGAGACAACTAGCGGCGGCCAATAGAGAGCGAGCTAATGACACAATCAACACCTGCAGCCCTCACTGAGCCTTTTCTTTATCCGTCCACCCATAACAACAGACGTGGATGAGTGACCCCCGCTACCAGCCTCCCTCCCCTTCCCCCTTCTTAGAGCCACGCTCTTATTCTGAAGCCCCCCCCCAACCTACCCACCAATGGTGCCCTACAGGAAACAGCCACAGAGGCAAAGACAGAGGGAAGAAAGCCCCAATGAGACACTAAAAGGGGGGGAGGGGGCCGGGGTGGCTGTGGGGTCGGGGTCTTAGATTTGGCTTTTTAACACAAAAGAGGCTGGAATGTAAAGAGTTAATCCATTCGGGGGTCTCTCTTCCGCAAACAAAGGGACAGGCCTCCAGACAAAGGTTGAGGGAGGGGTGGGGGGAGAAGGGTGAGGGATGAGGGAGGCTGGTGGCTTTCCTACCATCTGGAGCTTTTGTTTTGGGGGAGGCTGGAGGTTGGAGGGGGGAGGGGGGGAGAGGGGGTGCCGGCTGGTTTAGGGATGGACAGGGGGCTCCGCCCTCTTTCTCCTCCCACAGCCAACCCCCCAGACCCCACTCCCACTGAGTATCCGTGTCCACGTGCTGCGTGGCCCAGACAGACGCCCCTTAGCTAGGTCACACTACACTTCAGCCTGCCCTGCCCTGCATGGCTAATCAGCAGCCTACTCTCCAACTGCTCTCTGACACACACACACATAGTATCATATCCTGCACTACTGAAATATATCAGTACAGTGAAAATACACTAGAAGTGCTCAGTTTCCCTTTCCATTTGCCTCATACACACACACGCACGCGTGCGTGCACACACACGGCTCCCTGAGCGCTCTTATTGGTTCAGGCAAGAGCAAACTTGGGCTGCACTGTATGTTTGTGTATGTCATTCTGTCAGTATTACTGGTAGTGATCCAATTGAGAGCTGTCAGGTTGAGAGAAGCCAGGTTCTTTAAGGGCCATTATGAACCGTGTCAACAGGCTACACAATCACAACACACACTGGGGCCTGGAGGATGAATGAACGAAGCTGCATGTCCGGGTTTATTACACAGGGCCAGCCGGGGGCTTTGGGGATGAGCAGGATAGCATGAATGACAAACAAAGCGGGCCCTGTCAAACCTCTTATCCCTTCTCTTTGCCTGTCCTGCTGCCTTGCTGAGGATTCAGCCTCTCAACCTCCTTGATGCTCTGCTGCTTGATTCTTTGTCTGCGTCCGTTCCAGCTACCCAGCTTCTTCTATCCTGCCTGTTTTCTCTCCCTCTTCGCATTAGAGTTGGATTTTCTATTAGCTGGCTGACAAGCGGAAAGGGGAAATCCTACTTTTGGGTGTTCTTATTCCTTTTAATTCAGACATGGAGAAAAACATGGTACGTGCCAGGCTGTAATTCCACTGACCCTGTTCTTCCAGCCAGATAAAAAAACACTGTCTTCTATTTACCCAGCATTAAGAGATCTGACAGATTTGTTTAAAGGAGCTGAAAGAAAAGAGGCACGGCCCACGTCAGAGCCTTGTTCCATTAAATGAAGCATCAGGCCAAACAAGCTTGATGACAGAGCAGAGGTTTTCCAACCGGGAGGCTCGCTTCCCCAGAGGGGAGCAGGACAGCTGGGACGGACACGCAGAAGGAGGTGAAGGGTCATTGTGAGTCAAGTGCATGCCAGGGTTCTTTAAAAAAAGAGGGTTGTTTATTTTAGTTCAACCCGCTGATATTGCCACGCAGCAGGCGAGGTCGTGGCATGCTGTGACAAAAACCGCACTCCTTATCTTATAGTCATACCTGAGTCATCCTAAAAACACCAAAAGAATAAACACATTTCAAGGATCTTTTTACCAATTCACTGCAGCCATAATGTTTCTGTACAATACCCATCAGAGGTGCAGGTGAGATAGGAAGTCAGTCAGAACTATACTTCAAAATTCATCCTGCTACCTCTATCAGCAGTCACGTCATCAGTAACCACTAGTGACGCGGTTCCATTAGCAGCCATACATGCCCAAGACATGACTGCCTCCACTGTGTTTGACAGGTAATGAGCTCTTCCTTTCCTTTTCCAAATGTTTCTCTTCCCATCAGGCTGGTAAAAGTTAACCTGGGTTTCATCTGTCCAAACAATCTTTTTCCACAAGTAGGCACACTTTTAGATGTTTTCTGGCCAAGTCAAGTCTTATCTTGGCTGTAACCAGCGGTTTGCACTTTGATTGATCCCAGATGTTGACAGTGGTACTCCTGCCTCCTAAGAACGCTCTCTCCACATGTCCTTAACCAAGTAAAGAACACTAACATCATTTGGTTGTCTTCTGTGGTCTTTCAGGCCTTTGGTACTGCTGAGCTGGCCAATAAAAAGTAACTCTTGATTTGGCCAGTGCTGAAGTTTTTGCTGTCCCTCTTATAGGTGTGTTTTTGGCTCAGTGATAGCTTACTTCACGTGTATCAACACTTCTTTGGACCTCACAGTGGAAGTTCCAGAGAACTGATATCAAATTCAAGTTTAA